AAAACACCAAAGTTTCTTTATAGATATTATTTTAGACAAAGCTGATTACTAAGTTCAAATTGAAACTTGGCTTAGTGGCAACTGTGGAAAGGCATCTAAGAACATAAAATCCTTGAGAGAAAAAGGCAATTTTCTATTTTTTTTTTTTTTAAAAGGTCAAATGAAGAGAAGATGTGAAAATGACAGATATTTTCAATGCAATGACTTTCAATTTTTTATCTCTGAAGCCCTGACTATTCTCATCCAAACTCCGAACCCACACCATCAGCCTCCTACCATTCATTTCCACTTGCATGTCTTGTCATCATCTCAAACTTAATACTGGGTTAAACAGAACAAATTCCCACCCTTTCCAGCCAAACCAGCTTCTTATTTTGATTTCCTAATCCCTGTCACACAGTCTTGAAATCACTGTATCCCTTCCTTTCAACTACTATGTCAGGAACCTAGTTCTACATCTTAAATGTTTCATTTGGCTATGAAAGATTTCTGCTGATTTGTTTCTACTTTCTTTCTTCCTTTAAAGTATGTTGCCAACGAATCTTTCTAATACACAAAAGTTTTTCTGTCACTTCCATCTTTAAAAATTCCTGAGTGCCTGTAAGATAAAGTTGGTGTAAAAGCCATGTAACTGACACTTAAAATATACAGAGATGACCTGGCTGGCCACAACGGTGTCTGCCTCTTTCTTCCCTGTTCAATGTGCCTTCCTTCTGAGGTCTTTATGTAAGTAGTCAAGGCTCGATCACTCTGGTTTAAAGATACCTTTTACTTTGACACGCAGTTCACAGCCTTGCCAAGAAGGGTCTCCCTTCAATTCTTTAAGGCCCATCCTTCTGATATCTCAAGGCTGAGATGAAGTCTTCTCTCTTCCATGGATCTCTGAAGATTACTTTGAACAGGCCAGCACAGCCCAGTGATTATTTTTGCTCCTGAACTTATCATCTGTGCCAGTTATTTGGAACTTTGCACATATTTCTTTGAATGATTTGTTAACTTTTCACTGGAATGTATTTTCTCCCCAACAAGATTGTAACAATAACACTTTTACCTCAAATACCAGCAGCTACCATTTATTAAGTTCTTAAGTTGTTGCCAGGGTGGTTTATTACTGGGAGTGCTTTAGTTTTCTAACTTGTGTTAATGCCTTAATACCACCGCCAATGTATTTTAAATAACTTTAGAAAGAAGGTTGGGCAATCTACTTCTGTAGTGATACCGCCTTAGAAACCCAAGGAAGGGTCACTATGAGTCAGGTCTGACTTGATAGCAGTGTGTTGCATTGTTGCGTTAATATATATTTAGATAACAGCTACGTGCTTATTGCTATGAATAGAGAACACTACAGATACTAAAGTTACATCACTGTGCTTCTTTATCCTTAAAGACAAAATAGTACAATGTTAGAGAAGGATCACTAGAAGGAGCATTAAAAAGGTATCTTGGGCAATGACAAAGGAGTATGAAATCACTGTAAATTCCAAGTCTGAAGTATTATGGCAAAACAAATGATATTTCATTGTCAAATGATTCAAGTATTTGTCTTCAGCAGCATATTATCTTCCTTTGGCAACTAATCTGATTATTTTAGGTAAGAGCACTGAGTAGGACACACATCCAAATGTATTCAGACAACTCACTATCCTCACTTACATCGAAAACTATTGCTAATGTAATGCCAAAGTGCATGATTTAACATTTCAAATGAATACAGTTCATGTTTCTTGTCACACCCTAACCTTGTTCTTGTCCATATCAGTTAAAAAGACACAAGGCAATCAGCACACAGGTAAAGTAAAAAGCCACCAGGGAAGGTGTGAAGATGATAACCTCTAGAAAACACCACCATCTTTTATTTTTGTGTCACTGCTCATCTGTCAGTTTGTCATACTGCGGTGGCCTGTGTGTTGCTATAATGCTGGAAGCTTTGCCACTGGTATTTCAAATACCAGGAGGGTCACCCATGGTTTCAGTGGAGCTTCCAGGAAAAAAACAGATGAGGAAGAAGGACGGGGTCAACCACTTCTGGAAAATTGGCCAGTGAAAACCTTATGAGGAGCAGTGATACATTTCTGGAAAAGGACCAGGCAGTGTTTCATTTTGTTGTATGAGTTGGGGCCAACTCAACTGCATCTAGCAACAACATCGTTTTGTAACACCCTAAGATCATGAACTTTTATCTTTCTTCTCCTTCATCCCCTCCCCTAGCAAAGCACTTGGCATACAGAATTCTGTCCCACAATACCTATAAACAGTATCTTACACTTTATAGAGGATCTTCCTTTTTTTTTTACTTGCTCATCAGAAAGTATTATTTACCTATTTTCAAGAGAATATAAAAGCATGGATAGATTATACACCTTGTCACAAAGCTAGCAGGTGGTACATGTGAGGATGGAACTCAGGTTTTCATATTCTTTGTTGTTGTTAGTTGCTGTCAAGTCAGCTGTGACTCATGATGACCCCATGTACAACAACAAAACACTTTTCGGTCCTGTGCCATCCTTATGATCACAGACATGCTTGAGCCCACTGCTGCCTAAGGGGCTTATTTCCCAACACTGTGTTAGACGATTTTCTATTGTGATCCCTAGGACTTTCATTGGTTAATTTTTGGAAGTACACTGTCAAGCCTTTCCTCCTAGTCTATCATAGTTTGGAAGCTCTGCTGCAACTTCCCTACCATGGGTGACCCTGCTGGTATTTGAAATGCTGGTGGCACAGTTTCTAGAATCACAGCAACACACAAACCACCAAAGTATGACAAACTGACAGATGAGTCGTAGTGGTTCATATTTGCACTGGACTCAGTCATCAGACTAAACTGCTCAATTCTAGAGTAGACGAGGAAACAATAAACAAGTGAAGCAAAGGAAGGGCAGAAGAAAAAGGATGTAATTTCTTTTCCACTGTCACCTCTGTTCCTCTTTCCTATGCCTGAGCATTAGCATCACAGCTGTTTTCCAGACACAACATATGGCTATTTTAGGCAGTATTAACACCAGATTCAGGTGGGCTCTAAGTAATTTTTTCAACCTATTTTTCACAGCACAAATATTCATCTTGATGTTGCCAGGATCTAGGAAAACGAGGTACAGAAAAAAATGAGAGCCCAGGTGTGTCCTGCACCTCTTCCTGACAGGTGAGAAGCATCCAGATCAGTGAGACAGAGTACCTAAAGATGTAAAATAAAGGGCATATATGATCACAGAATATGATGCAAAACCATCCATAAAGTGGGAATAATGAGAGTATCTGACTCCTAAAAATGTGAGAAGAGTTTCTAAGAAAATATGAAGGCAAACAAAAAGATAGCAACAAATAATAATTGAGAATTCAATAAAGCTCTTTTTGATGAAGGAGAATAGAAATAATACTGTTTTCTGGAAGTACTGAAAAATAATTTTAAGAGAGGGAGCTGGAAGAGACTAAGGTTGAAGGCATTTCATGACTTCAGAGGATATGGAGAGCACAAGAGGAGGGACTACCAGTATGTGTAATGGTGTAACTCCATCTCCTTAGGACTCAATGACAGTACCATGCACACTACTAGCTCTGCCATTTTCAAAACTGCAATCCTCCACACAAAATTAAGCAAGCATGTAATGGAATAAATAATAGACATGGGAAACAATCTTTTACTGAAACAAAAATTCAGGAGCCTATTTTATATAAATCCATCTCCAGATGAAGTCTATAGTGGGTCTTTCTTACCTCTCAATGCTTTTAGTCCTTGGATATGTTCACATTACATGAAAACAACACAGACAATGGATTTCTTGGCTTATTCTTTCTAGGTTATGCTAAATACAGCCTTAAGATGGACCCTGAAATGATTCATTCCTCATTTACCAATTACTGAGAAGAGTTCTGTTTTTTGTACCTACCACTAATAAAAACCAGAAACTAAATCCATTGCTGTTAAGTCAATTCCAACTCATGACCACCCCATGCATGTCAGAGTAGAATTGTGATCTCTAGGGGTTTCAGTGGCTGTAATCTTATGGAAGTAAGTTCCCAGGCTTTTCTTCCACAGTGCTACTGAGTGTATTCAAACTGCTAATATTTCAACTAGGAGTGAGAGCAAATTCTTTGCACCATCCAGGACCTACCACTAATAAACAGGTTTTAAAATATTTAGAGCAGAGTTTATCATTATTTAACTTTGTAAAGCACTTGCTACCAACACCTACTTGAAGTTCAGTGGTTGAATATCAAGAATTTTTTTTGGCCAACTGTTAAATGTGAAAGACTGGAACAGTGCAGCTGCTGATGATTTTTATGACAGGAAGGTAAATACAGTCATATCCTGGAGATATTGCAGGTTTAGTTCCAGACCACCACAATAAAGTGAATATTGCAATAAAGCGAGACCAAAAATATTTGTTGTGTCCTAGTGCATATAAAAATTATGTTTATACCATACTGTAGTCCATTAAAGGAGCTGTGGTGGCACAATGCCTAAGGCATTTGACTGCTAATATGGTTGGCAGTTCAAACCAACCAGCTGCTCCATGGAAGGAAGATGGGACAATCTATTTTTGTAAAGATTTACTGGCTCGGAAACCCAATGGGGCTTGCTATGAGTCACAATGGACTAGATGGCAATGAGTTTGTTTTTTTTTTGGTTTTGGTAGTTTATTAAGGTGCAACAGCATTATGAGAAAGTTTGAAATGCTGTGAGAATTATCAAAATAAGACACAGATACAAAGTGAGCACACGCTGTTGGAAAAATGGCACTAACAAGACTTACTTGATGCACGATTGCAACAAACCTTCGATTTGTAAAAAACACAGTACCTGTGAAGTGTAATAAAATGAAGTATGCCTGTATATTGTGTGTACTTTTAAAAATAAATACCAATTATAAATGGCATTCCTTTTTGTGATTGTTGTGAGAGAGATAAAAGAACAAGAAAAGTTCCTATTCATTTCTTTTGTCATGGAATTTCATTTTAAAGTCTACAGAAAGATCTCAGAAGATAAAGAATAAATTTACCTTATTTTCTTCTAGAAATTTCAATTTGATAGAAACATCACTGCGCATTTTATCATATTTTTCCTTATGTGTTTGGAACAGATGCTGTGACTGCTCAATTTTTGGCAGAGTGGTTGCATCACGTGGTCCAAGATTCAATTCTTCTAAGTCAGTGCGATATGCATCATATTCAATCCTGGAAAGAAGATAACAAGTGACATATACTATAAAATATGTTTTGGAGATGGCTGGAAATATGCAATAGTCTCTTATTACATAGTAATATAATATTTCTCAGATATGTTATATATCTTATGCTTTTGAAACCAATTATTTCTTTAAATGCAAAGAGTTACTAATATAAGCAAGAGGAGAAAGGCTTCTAAATCTCTTAACTATTCAAAGAACAGTATCAACTGACAAGAAAAAATTCCAAAATTTAAAACCAGTTTTAAAAACTAGATCGCAAGACCTGACATTAACAAGACCAAGAATTAAGATCAATTCCTGATGTGGACTGGCAAATTTTGGTATGGGAAAGTCAGCTGTGTATAGTACATTTTAGAATGGCATACTTAAAGTATCTGGTAAAAAGAAGTTACAGAGGGTCAGTGGTCCTTAAAGTATAGTCTAGGTCAGCAGTGTACAACAGAAACATGATACAAGCTATTTACATAATTTAAAATTTTCTACTAGCACTTAAATAGAAAGTTAATTTCATTTCTTTTAATATTTCACTTCATCCATTATATCCAAAACATTATCACTGCAACATTTAATCAATGTAAAAAAATTGTTAATGAGCTATTTTACATTCTTTTTTTTTTTGTACCAAGTTTTTAAAATCCATCGTGCCCAGATCAATTCAGACTAGGCACATGTTAGGGGCTCAACAGAATTACATGGTTAGTGGCTACCTTACTGTACAGCACAGTGCTAAATGGATTTCTGTAACATTAATATTTAAATGTGATAATGGTTTATATTACAGAGCACTTACCACCTTTTGTTCTCTGAGAAGTCTCCCCCTAATATTCTCCCACCACTAATTGAAATAGTTCTTCCACCACCACTACTCTATGATCCCACAGCACCTCATACATAACTTTATCACAGCACCAGTGTAAGTACAATACTATTTTGCTTATTAAACAGTGACAACCAGCAGCTTCCACTATTCAGTATTTAGTTAAGAAGAAGCAAAGAGACCTCTAATTTAATTAACATCAATATTACAAAGCTTTCAAGAGGAACTAGTACCTAATTAGGTGTCTGAAAAAGAAGCTCAGAACATAATTAAAATATTAGAATTATACTTTGAAGGACGGTAGAAATTTACTAGGTGGATGGGGCAGGGAAATTGGTAGAATATTCCAGATAGAGAGCAAGGCACAGATTTGTAAGATACCATAACATATTTGGGAAGCAACTCAGTCCTATTAGAACTTTGAGTTGGAATGTGATAATGGAAGGAATTAAGCAGTGCTCAGATTAAGCAGGGCCATACCGGATATGCTAAAGAGATAAGATTTAATCCAGTAGGACTGGGGATGGGAAGTCATTAAAGACCTCTGATTTAGAAAGTGACATGCTTCTATTTGTTCAACTTAGAAAGATGACTAGTGGTAGTGTAAGGAATGGAGGATGGACTGGGGTAGAAGTTGAAATAAGAAGGAAGGATATCAGTTGGAAGAGCATGGGCAAATGTCTCTGAATCAGCATGATGGGAGTAGAACTAAGAAAGAGACAAAGGCTTTTAGGTGGCAAGAATGACTTGGTACTGAAAAATTAGTCAAATTTTTAGGTTTTGTAGCCAAACTGAATTGCTTACTCTGCCCTTCACTTGCTCTAAGGCTGTAAGCAACATATTGCATCTCTTTGTAATTCAGTTTTCTATCTGTATATGAAAATAATAATTTAATCTTCACAAAACCCTCATATATGTAAATCACTTAGGATACTTGGTAAAAACTTTGTCTTTAGAGTGCTTATCATTACGACTAGTTTAGAAGAGGAGCAGCCAGAAGTAAATATGCTAAAAACAGTAAGAAATAAGAGGAAAAGGTAAAACTATAATAAATACTAATATGTGGTGATTTACTTACTATAAAGACAAAAATAGTCTGACATTCTTCAATATCCTCTGAGCACATTTCTAAACAATACTAACCAGTTTTACTATAACTGAAGTTAAACTACTGAGCTTAAAAAAAAAATTGCCATTAAGTTTCAAAGCTGAAAAAACATTTGGTTTTTTGCCTTCTATTCTTGATCAATGGACTTCAAACTTGAACTTAACCTAAAATTTTCATGCTTGAACTTAACCTAAAATTTTCGTATCTTAATTATGTTGTTGTTGTTATGTGCCGTCAAGTCGGACCTGACTCATAGTGGCCCCTCCTTGGGTTTCTGAGGCAGTATCACTATGGAAGTAGATTGCTCCATCTTCCTTCCGAGGAGTGGCTGGTGGGTTTGAACCACCAGCCTTCTGGTTAGCAGTCAAATACCTTAAGCATTACGCTATTAGAGGTCCTCTTAATTATGTACACATCTTAATAATAAGAAATCTGTTTTAAAGTATAAAGATCTCAGTTTTACACAATATAGAGAAATGTTTGAAACTTTGGTTATTTAAAGGAACCCAACAGACAACCATTTAAAAACCAGCAAAAATAATTCCACCCTATTAATTTTTCAGTTTTAGTTCAAATTATAATTTATGATTTTATTCATTAAGCTCAGCTTGAGTTTGTACTTTTCTGTCCTGTTTATGAACTAGCTTTAGAATTGAGTGGTTCTAACCCTGTAGCTAAGAACTCCAAGATTGAAAAACTGCCTACTGAAAGAGAATATTCAAAAAGAATCCCAAATTAAATGTTTCTCAGTAGCTGAATTTTCTTCTCTGTCAAAACTAGAATTTACTGACTTGTAGATCAAGGGTCATCTATTTAATCAGCATAAAAAGTGGTTATTTAGGCAAATGCCTGGGTGGCCTTTTAATGCTCCCTATTATGCATTGTATAGTATTTCCTAGCCCTCTGGTATTTCATGTATAGAAAATCTAACAATAGTCCTTTCAACACTTGCCTACAGTAGCACCAACAAGGGAGTCAATTGTGATCGAGACTTTTCAGATATGGACACCTGTTCTCCGCAAGTTTTACATAAGCCATAAAATAACCAACTATTACTAACTTTATTGATACGGACTCAGTTCAGATTGGCAATCTTGAATTGAAGAGTTCATTTTAAAAACTTAGAGTACTTTTCTTCCTGGGGTTAAGCAGCACTGTAAGAGAAGCTCTAATTAAAGTTTTTTACTTTCATATAATTTACAAACTCTGAATGTAAAAATTAAGGGAAATAAGGTCAGTATCTCTGGTGGCACAGTTGCCTATGGCATCTGACTGCTAACCAGAAGGTTGGTGGTTCAAACCCACCAGCCACTCCTTGGAAGGCACGTTGGCCAATCTACTTCTGTAGTGATACCACCTTGGAAACCCAAGGAGGGGTTGCTATGAGTTGGATCCAACTCAATGACAGTGGGTTTGGGGTTTCTTTTGAGGCATTACTCTGGCTTTGATTCCCACTTTTTTCCAGAACGTTGTTTTCCCACCTTTCTGTTAGTTCTGTGTAATTTCCTTATAATTTCCCAATGCATCTTTTTTCTGCCCATATTGACCAGCTGGTTGGCTGTTTGCAACCATAAACCTTAACTGAATTATATACAATTTGTAAAACAGACAATATATTGGAAATTTATACATACCTGGCACTTTCATACTGTTTCACAGTCATTAACGTATCTTCAATAGTTTTATTTACCAAAGTGTTCACACTGGCGATGAAAAAATTAATGGCTCCAAGAAGCGTCTCTCCATTTTTAGCCAGCAGCTTCTGGGTATCTGCATTGTAGCCAAATTCTTCCTAAAACAAAGAACTCAACTTAATCAGTAACAAATTAGCAAACATGATTTAAAAAAATCTTCAACTTATCACTAGGGGGAGAGTACCTGATTTAGAAATATAACTACAGAAGTTATACTTTTTCTTTCAATCTTTAATTAAGTAGGAATTTAAATCATAACTACCTATATAATTATTTTAAAAAGTCTAATAAAAATTTTTATCAGCTGAGATGTACAGTTAAAATCTAAATAATTAGAAAAGATAAAACTACTTTGTACCAGAAAAAATACTTTCATTTCTTTGTTTTATTTGTACTATACTATAAGCACAGCTGTTAGGAAGAAAAATATACCAGATTATTAATCAGAGAAACTCTACCTTTCAAAACCAAATTAGGTAACAATTGGCTAAAACTTTCAAACATAAAATGGATTGCAATTTTTTGTGCTTCAACTGAATCTCCTCAGAATATAAATATTAACAACACACATGTCTTTATAAAGTTAGTGACCAATAGTTGACTCTCAAGTTATATTTTATATAGGCACACAGCTAGGAAGGGTCATTCAACTCGAGCTTCAATTTACTCTTTTTGAATAAACTGAGTCTTGGCTAAGCAAGCATTACACATAGCTCTTTCAGATATGGTAAGGACTAATCCTAAACTTCCAGCAGTGAAAGCTTTATAGTCTAAGTGTGATTAATTACCAGATAAATTATGAACACATCTGACCAATTAAAAACGGGTATTTCATTGTAAAATGTATCATCTAATTTCAGAAATCTGAACTTCAGTATAAAGCACTTTTCAATTTCAGCTGAAAAAACTGTATTATTAAATTAACTAGAATCTTAGAAGATGCAAATTTAATGTTACTACTGGAGCTATAGCTAAAAATCTACATGATAATCAATCATTTGTAGCACTTTATTCTGGACTCAATCTTCAAAATTTTAGACTTTGACTTCCAAACACTGGCAGATAAAATTACATTAAAAAAATCATATAAATCTATATAATAACTAATA